GAGTTTATCGGATGGGGGATTCCAGGGAGTGATCCCAAAAACTCAAGGAGTAGCCTCTTTGGGCAGCACACTAAACAGGATTCTACTTTGGCTGCTTCTCTCTTATTTCATTGTATTTGAGATATAAAAAACATGGATGGCCCACAATTTTCTTCAGTTAAACTTTGACAAGACTGAAGTCATGCTTTTTCGCATAGACTTTAAGATACTCTTGCTCACCTATAAGGCTCTTCAAGGTTTGGCATCTGTCTAAACATTCATCAACTTACTTCCCTCCTCGTAACCTCCTCTCCTCAAATTCTGGTCTTCTGTTTGTCCTTCCTACTCACCTACTTTCGATGAGAGACAAAGCCTTCTCCTGCTATGCCTCAAAACTCTGGAATTCACTTCCAAACAACAACAGGGAATCATATTCTCTAAACTCATTCAAATCAAATCTAAAAACATTTTTCTTTAGACAAGCTTTCACACAATTGTCCCTTTTTTTCCTTTTTTTTATCCCGTATATTTTTTTCTTTTCCTTGTAAAGCACTTTGAGAAGCTACAGGTATTATATAAAATAATGTTTATTATTATTATTATTATTTGTATTACTAGTGGGGTATTGAAATGATGAGTACTGCCTGAAACCATTGCATAATAGGGATGAACTGAACATTCACTCTGGTTGCTCAGGTGTTCAGATGAACGCCCAAAGATTAACCTGTTCGGTGGGACCCAAATGTCAAGCACAATAGCGGTATTACTTCGGGTAAGCAAGTGGTATTACTTCGGATAAGCAAGTCCTTAACAGCCTGTGACATCACCAGCCCTATTCCTTACATGCCTGAGGATCCCCAGCTACCATCCCAGATGTAATGGCCATAGCTGCACTGCAATTTACCTTTTGGGAATGTTTATTTACTGATCAAGGTGAGAATGGAATTTAGGGGAGGGCAGGACAAGCAGGGTTGACACTTTGTTTAAGAGTTGCAAGTATAAAAAAGGAGTCTTGGTAAAAATAGGACAATAAATTGTCCAACAAAATGATAAAATGAAGTCAGGCTTGGAACATCTGCATCAAACCTTTGCAATGTGTCTCTTTATGATGCAGTGTGCCTCATGGCATGAATAAATGCAAGCCCATGGAAGCAAAAGTTTATATATTCACAATCAACACTTCTATACTTGATTGCAGCAGAATATACTTACATAAATACATTTGGTCTTTCATAATATCTTACCCCATTCATTTATCTGTCATCTGTTAAAAATGATACACTCTTTATCTGAAGAAATATAATTCAGTAAAAGTGCCCCTTAATGAGCTATTATCAAGGTAGCACATTGGTTTAAATGGCCTATTGTGCTAAAGTGAAAGCAGTACAATACATACTATATGAGCTTTATTGTTCATCGTAAAGTGCATGTACAAATGATATCATCAGATATATTTGGATGATCATTATCTGGACAAACATCAATCTGCAATGTTGGATTATGTTGTTCTTTGTGTGACTGTATCTTGTACACAAACCTTGTCAGATCACCAATAATCCTACAGTCTAATACTTTCATATAAAGGGTACAAGTGAAAATTGGATGTGAGGATCTAAGGGCTGAAAATTGCATGTTTTTCCTGAATGCATACTTATTGCATACAATTTACCATTTCCAACATAATACTGTAAATGATAGTAATACTCACAATATAAAAAAATCACAATGTCATAAAAGTATTTTTTCAGTATGGTTAGTATTGTCTCACTGCATACATTTTTCTTAAGCAAATCGATTAGTTAATATTTTGCAAATTTTCTCACCTGTAGATCCAGACAGTAACAGCACTTACCTGCTTTGCAGTTAGCAGTAGTGCTGTCAGCTTGCCATGTGCATTCCTCCAATTGGCTCTTGGGCTGCTTATCTTATCATAGCTGATAAGCAGCCCAACATCCATTTGAAGGAATGGTCATGCTAGAATGACAACACTGCTGACAATTGCCACAGTCAGCCTGCAACAGAAAGTTATGTTTTGCAGAATCTCCAGGAAAGTCAAAAATTATTTCATAAAAAATGCATATCATGAGACATGTTTCAAATGGAATAATAGATGTTGGGCTTACATGCATTTGGGTATTAGACATTTAGGTTTAGGTTAAAACCAGTTTTGTATCAACCATCTGATACCGATCTGTGGCTGCTGCCCTTCTCTGCCAATCCCTTCACTGGCTTCCACTAATCCAGCATATCAAATTCAGAATACTAACCACAACATACAAAGCCGTTCATAACACTGCCCCCTGCTACATTATAGACCTCATCTCGAGATATCACCCAAATTGCTCCTACCAAAACATTTTGCTCCCTAGCTCACCTCCTCCCATGCTCACATTCAGGACTTTTCTAAAATTTTTCCCATCTTCTGGATCTCCCTAACCCAGTATGTCCTGTTAGCTCCTACCCTGACCACCTTTAGGTGATCGTTGAAAATGCATTTATTCAGGGAAGCCTAACCCACCTCCAAGTAAAAACTGCACTTCAACCACCTCCATCAGATCATCCCCTGCAGCTGTTACCTTGTTTAGCACTTCCCCCTCCCTTTAGATAGTAAGCTCCATGAGCAGGGCCCTCCAATTCCTTCTGTATAGAACTGTAACATAATTATACTGTCTCCCTTTATATTGTAAAGGGCTGTGCAAGCTGTTGGCACTCTATAAATCCTGTATAATAATACTTTGTTTTAAAAAAAAGAACATAAGTACTTTATTGTAACTCTCATTTTATGTGTACAAAGAAAATCTGTCACTGCTAGGCATACTTCTTTCTGTTGTGTTCATTGTAACAAGATATGAATGAAAATAAAGAGATAAGTGAAAGATATACATTCTATGTCCACAGTTACGTCTAAATGTACTCTAAGATAGTCATCAGTTTAAGTGTCAAACTGATCATCATAAATATGGAATGAAAAGAGCTTTGCTGCTTATCAACATCCAGCCAACAACTATCAAGTGTGAATATGATAACTACACTTGTTAAAGCATTGTTAGGATATCGAGTGTTGGTATCCAGCAACAGCAGGGGTAACTAGATCTGTGTGCTGCATGTAAAGAAGCTGGGACCAGACTGTGTATGATTAAAGTAAGGTTTATTAATAATAAAGTAAAAACCCATCCAACATAGCAAATAGTATTCAAGGCAAAAGTGAGAATATACGTGAACAGTGAAACAAGTGACAAAACACCTAGCAAGCAATCTAACTATAATACAATATACACACTGCTCAAAAAATTAAAGGAGCACTTTGAAAACACATCAGATCTCAATGGGGAAAAATATCATGCTGGATATCTATACTGATATGGACTGGATAATGTGTTAGGAACGTTAGGATGCCCCATTGTTTGATGGAAATTAAATATAACAACCTACAGAGGACTGAATTCAAAGACACCCTGAAAATCAAAGTGAAAAAATCATGCAGCAGGCTAGTCCATTTTGCTGAAATTTCATTGCAGCAACTCAAAACGGTATTAAGTAATTTGTATGGCCCTCAATGCTTGTATGCATGCCTGACAATGTTGGGGCATGCTCCTAGTGAGACGACGGATGGTGTCCTGGGGTATTTCCTCCCAGATCTGGATCAGGGCATCACTGAGTTCCTGGACAGTCTGAGGTGCAACCTGGTGGCGTGGGATGAACCAGAACATGATATCCCAGAGGTGTTCTATTGGATTTAGGTCAGGCGCGTGTGATGGGGCCATTCAATGGTATCAATTCCTTCACCCTTTAGGAACTGCCTGCATACTCTTGCTACATGAGGCAGGCATTGTCATGCACCAGGAGGAACCAAGGACCCACTGCACCAGTGTAGGGTCTGACAATGGGCCCAAGGATTTCATCCCAATACCAATACCTAATGGCAGTCAGGGTGCCATTGTCTAGCTTGTAGAGGTCTGTGCGTCCCTCCATGGATATGCCTCCCCAGACCATCACTGACCCACCATGAAAATGGTCATGCTGAACGATGTTACAGGCAGCATAACGTTCTCTGCCAATGAGTAGGCAAAAAAATGTCAGTGGTCTCCACCTGTAAAACCATTCCTGTTTCGGGGTTTGTCTCATTGTTGTCCATCTAGTGCACCTCTTGTTAATTTCATTAACACCAAAGCAGCTGAAACCGATTAACAACCCCCTCTACTACTTAACTGACCAGATCAATATCCCAGGAGTTTAATTGACTTGATGCTGTACTCTGATAAAAAAACGTTCCTTTAATTTTTTTGAGCTGTGTACACAAATGGGGGGGGGGGGGGCATGAATAAAAACAGGGGTAAGACAGGAGATGTGAGGAACAACCAGGGAGATGGATCAGGAAGGGGACCAGAACTGGGATCAGGAATCAGGGGAGCAGATATGCGGTAGCAGGGTACAGGTACTGGAACATCATCATGATTACAATCAAGGTTGAGGTCAAAAGCGGGATCAGGAACTGAGCATCAATAACCACGTATATGGCACACAGACAAAACACTGAGGCACTGAGGAAAGCTATGAGAGGGGTAATATACCTTTCCCATCAACCAGTATCATGTGGAGACTGATTAATGGGATTTGCTGGCTTCTGGGAGACACCAAGTGGAATTACAATCTTCAATAAAGCATATCTAAACCTAAACAAAATAATATATTGCAGTTTACCAGTCTTTAGATAAGGTAGCTGCATATGTTTTTAACATACGTCCTGTTTCTGTGTGGCGACCCTCACTGTATGTATGGAGAGAGCCATAGGTGCCACCCAGGCTGGACTTCAAATATATTAAATCTCCAGTACATGAAAATATACCAGAACTTGCTAAAACTGTTCTGATAAAAGGAAAGAAATGCAGGCACCTCATTTAAAGAGTGGTTAGTTGCAATATACTGCAACTTTGTTCTTAGGTTTAGTTACATTTTAAGAAAAATGTAAATGAGCAATGTAAATGCTTTATACATTATACTTTAACTGCTTCCTGACAGCCCTATAGCAGAGATACTGCTACAGGGCGGCAGGTCTGCGCAAAATCACCTATATGTATATGTCATTTTGTATTTCCGGGTAGGGGGGCGTACCCGCACCCTGCCCTACCCACACCATCATTGGCAGCTACAGATGTCACTCACTGAGTCCCGGAAGGAGATTCCCCGCTGGCACCCAGCAATTGCCGAGTAACACTGACAGGGGAGAGACCTGTGTGTAAACAACATAGGTCTCTCTCTTTCCAGGAATAACATGCTGCTGTGTATTTCTCTGCACAGCAGAGAAATACACAGCAGCATGTTTCCCTAGTAAAACACACACAGCACATAATGTAAAACAGCACACAGTTAACCATTTGATCACCCCAGATGTTAACCAATTCCTGCTCAGTGTCTTTAGTACAGAGTCAGTGCTTTTTATTAGCACTGATCACTGTATTAGTGTCATTGGGATGTCAGTGGCAGTTAGCCAGTTCCATAGCAATATTTATTTATCTGAATTTTCATAGCCTGACCCCGGTTCTTTTTTCTATCTTCACAATTAAAGCCTCCATATTGTTGCTGTAACAGCCAGGCTGTATATGCTCTTCTTTTCTGTGTAATTTTACAAAGCAAGTGCTGCAACAAGCTTTGAAATACACTGTGCTAGCAGCATGTTGGAGAAGTGAACTCAAACTCAAGATGCTACCCAGGTCCCTAGTGATCCAACTGCCCGCTGCATCCAGCTCCCTGAGCTTGTAAAATACACAGAAAGAACAGCATATTTATTATTGTATATGCAGCCTGACTAAACCTAAAGCAACTGATGATAAAAACGAAATGTTACTTTTAGATAGACTAAGCAGCATTGAATTAGCAGCGTTCCTGTAAACCTCACTTTTTTTGACCCATTGAAGCAGTTCCATGATAAATGGATGACAGCATGTGTTTGGAACATGGAGGACCTAATTAACACTGTACTTCAAATGTTATTTAGGTTTAATTCATCAGCTCAAATAAATTTATTAGTGGAACCATAGTGTATTATTTGAGCCACCTGCTCAATTCTCACTAGACAAACTAAAATAATAAACACACTGTAAATGTCATTTTCAGCTTACAGAATATTGACAATGGTCCAAAGTGATTTAATTGTCCCGGAATTCTCTGTTTTACCACCCTTCAGTTTACTCATGGCGCTGTGCTCATGCCACTGTGATCCTTTACAGTAAGATTCATTAAATATCCATTATGACCAAATGACTTATGTTTCTATACCATGGTCTGTTTTCGACATAATGTGAAAACATTTTCAATAGCCAACCTAGTGCAGGTCAACAAGTAAATCATAACTTTCTCTCTTCCATCCTCCTGCTGTTTGGTGTTTGTTGAGAATGTTTTTCCAGCACTGTAAGAATCCATCAATTTACAGGAGATGAATCATCCATCACATTCCTCCCAGATATCATTATTGTGGATGGCCAGAAAAATAGTTCCTAAATGTTAAGGTTTTGCAACCTCAAAGAGGTGCCACAGATGTATAAACTTGGTGTCCTGGTTTGCAGAATTTAGAGATGAAATTTACTTATTATTCGGATACACTGGGAGATATAAGCTAAGAGTTCTTATTTGAGCAAACCGAGCAAAAGTCACAATATTTTTTTTATTTCCACTTGCCATAGTCCAGCCTTGCAACAGGATGATGGACAGTAAACCAGCCCTTCATTTGAAAAGTTTGAGGACCCTTTTCCATTTACCTAATTTAAATTATCATCTGGAAAAACATTGGGGGTAAAAATAAACAATAAGTATAAATGTAATATTAAGTAAAGTTACCGGATTGTTTCATACGCTTTAAAGAATAATTCTCAGCATCAATGTGTTATCCATAGTTACAATGGCCCAGTTTGTATATACACTGTATACCATACCTGACTGATGTCCCTGGAAGTAGGATATCACTGAAACAGAAACTGCTAGACATGCGTGTTTAATTTTGATTTGCTTTTTTGGATAAAAATTTCATTTTCAGAAATTCTGATGCATACAAATCTCAGAATGGACATAGTAATGAATGTCAAAAAATCTGAAAAAAAAAATAAATTAAGGAATGCATTCATTTCATTCAGATGACGTCACATGATGTGATAGTAGTTTCGGGCCCATGGGGAAGTGAATTCAGTTTTCAAATTTGTTTGATAATTCGGATTCAGATAATGAATGGATCCAAATTTAACTCTATTCATTCATTCATTCATTCATTCATTCGGATGCACATGATGCCAGTTGATAATGTCCAATCAGCTCATGCCATTTCTCTTGGTGGGTTGAATTAGCATCCAAAATTATCAAACCCGTCTGATTTGAATCCATCCACTTTGATAATATTTAGCAATCTTCCTGAAAAACTAACATTTATAGAATCCACCCAAACCATCGATTATACGAAATGAACGCTGCAGATACAAAACAATTTCAGAAAATGGGTCAACATAACGAATATGACGAAATTAAATTCTTCAATGAACGAATGCATCCAAAATGCTAATTTCCAGAGTGCATGTCTAGATACTAATACTTCAGTGATCTCCACTTTTTTCGGGGTCCCAGAATGAATAAATACAAAGCATCTCTGATTGGATGAGGTGGAAAGGCAGGGCAGTACAAAGAGTTTTGTGAATGGCGGCCAACAATCTGTATTAATAGTTCAGGAGAGCAGCCACTTATGCACAGGACCCAGAAGCAAGTGAAGATCAATCAAGCAGTGGTGTCTCTTTCAGTGATTTCCAGCTTCCATGGGCACCGTTCAAGTATGGTATATACAGTACTTAGTTCACTTGGTCCAAGCTCGGCAATAATTAATCTGCAGTCACATACTGTGTGGAATGAAAACTAGACATGGTTGTATCATAAATACAAATTAAATTACTTATGCCCTAATAATATAGAGTCCATCATCAAGGAACATTTGTTGGAAATGTTTTTTCTTCTTTTTTTATCTTTCAGTTTCTCCTTTCAATTATTGAGTTTTCCCAGTGAGCTAAACATGCTCAGTGTGATGATCTTGCTTATGGATTGTGTTTAAATATTTAACCATGGCTTATGGTATGCTTTCTGTGCATTGTTTTATAATAACCAAGAACAATCAGACATTGGCATTGTATGTTATACAATTATTTCTTATATAGCTAACAGGAGGCAAAAATACTATGATGTGTCCTAATATATCCTGGACAGTGATGTCATACCTGTAAAACACATTAAGTGAATGTGTATAATGTTATTTAATAAGGCAGCAAAATAGAGGAATAGTCATTTTCGCCCACAGAAACCAAAATGAATGTTTCATTGTTATGACTTCAGTCTGTTGTTATGGACTATTATATGAACACCAACGTTAGTGTCATTAAATCTAATCTGCTGGGGATTTGATAGAGCAGAGGCTGACCTTTACTTTGCCAGGCATACATTCATCCATCCATTACACTTGTGGAGGGTCTAAAGAACCCTGTACTAGTTTACTCAGGAGCCTTAGCATTGTTCCAGCATTTGGCATCCATATACTATATGTATCTTCTTTTACCCTAATAGGAAGTATGCTACCACCTTACTAGGGAATTATGACAGAGAAAAGTCATTGTGACTCATAATCCACTGCTTCATCTGCCAATCAATAAAAGTAGGATTCCCACTAGCAGTGGTGGGGGTTAGACAAGTGTATGTATCACTGAAATTAATGTAGTGGTTGTGGCATGTGCTGCAATGATTACAACCTTTTATCGAGGAATAAGAAACTTGTTTTAATTTGTGTGGAAATTATGGCATCTTTGGTATATTTTTTTACTTAGACTTAGTTTACACTTGTGGTTGGGGAGCAGAAAAAAAACGGTTGAGCAGTGTTTTTACTGCCCCCACCCAACCCCTAAGTGGCGAAAACAGCTGTATGAAGGTACACGCATGCTACGGCTGTGATGCTTGCATTGTAGCTTGGCAAAAATAATCCCCTGTTATGTTCGGTGGGCAGTACTACCTGTAGAATTATCAAGTGAATTGGGCGATCCCAAAACTATGTGCAGTGTATGGTTGTGGCACAGTGGTGTGGGCTTTTAGGGGTTAAAGCAGGTGGTGAGGAGGTAATATATTACACTCTACTTATAACACCCCCCCTTAGCATAATTCTGTGCATTGGTATGTGTTTGGAAAGGGATGGTTAGCTCTGATTAGAGAACTATAACCCCCTGGCTGGCTGTTATGTTGACCCACTATCTTCAGTACTTTCTGAACCTTTGACCTAAAACATGTACATCTGTATTTTGGTATCTTACTATGTCTGCACATTTTTTCCTTTTTTGGATTTATTTACTCTGTGTATGTTAGTAATTTTGCGACGCACTGGATACATCTTCTTTAGCCAGTGTTTTTTTGTGTGTTTTTCTTTGTTAGATTTGTTTATTTGTCATACTGCCCTGCATACAACTGCCTCATATTCAGAATACACCAACATGTCTTTACGACTGTACTCATGTAATGTTAAATGTTTATTATTATTATTATTATTACTACAAGTTTATATAGCGCCAAAGGGTTTGCTCAGCGCTGTACAATAGGGGGGACAATACATGGCACAGTACAACAAAGACAGACAGCGTACGAGGGGTAAGAGGGCCCTACTCTTACGAGCTTACAATCTAGCAGGGAGGGGGTAAAGGTACAGTAGGAAGTGGCTGAGGGGGATGAAGTGGTAGGAGGAATGAGGGAGGATGGCCGTTAGGTGAGGGTGGGGTAGGCTTCCCTGAAGAGATGGGTTTTGAGGGAGCGCCTGAATGTGAATAGAGAAGGCGACAGTCTGATGGATTGGGGCAGTGAGTTCCAGAGGATGGAGGAGGACCTGGAGAAGCCCTGCAGTCGTGCATGGGGAGGAGACCAGGGAGCAGGATAGAAGGAGGTCCTGTGAGGAGCGAAGGGTACGGGTAGGGTGGTACCTGGTGATCAGGTTGGTGAGGTAGTCAGGGGCAGTGTTGTGAACGGCTTTGTAGGTCAGGGTAAGGAGTTTAAATTTGATGCGTTGGGCAATCGGGAGCCAGTGGAGGGAGAGGCAGAGGGGGGTGGCAGAGGTGGAGCGGGTGGTGAGGTGGATGAGTCTGGCAGCTGAGTTCAGGATGGTCTGGAGCGGGGAGAGCCTGCACTTGGGTAGGCCAGTGAGGAGGGAGTTGCAATAGTCAAGGCGTGAGATGATGAGGGAGTGTACTAGAAGTTTGGTGGTGTCTGGGGTGAGGAAGGAGCGGATCTTGGCAATGTTGCGAAGATGGAGCCTGCATGTGTTTGTGAGTGATTTGACATGCGGTTGGAGGGAGAGGTTCGCGTCAAGAATGACGCCAAGGACTTTGGCTTGCGGGG